AGGCTGGCGGTTCAAATCCACCAGCCACTCCTCGGAAGGAAGGTTGGGCAATCCTACTTCCGTAGTGATACTGCCTCGGAAACCCAAGGAAGGGTCGCTATGAGTCGGGGCCGACTCGACAGCAAACAACAACAACAACATCATCTACTTAAAAATTTTTCTTTTTTTATTTAAAAATCTACCCACAAAGAAAACTACAGGCCCACATGGCTTCATAGGTGAATTCTATCAAATATTTCAGGAAGAAATAATACCAATTCTACATAAACTCTTCCAGAAACTGAAGAGGGAATATTTCCCAACTCATTCTATGAGGCCAGCATTACTCTAATACCAAAACCAGAAACATTGTAAGAAAACTACAGAGCTGCAACCCTCTTGAAAATATATTCCATTAATGCAATTTATCATATTAACAGGTTAAAATACAAAAACTGTATGATCATCTCTAGATGCAGAACATTTGGTAAAATGCAATACTCATTCTGGTTTAAAACATTCTGCTAACAGGTAATCGAAAACTATAATAAAGAGTAACTATGAAAAAGTTGTTGTTGTTGTTAGGTGCCATGAAGTCAGTTCAGACTTATAGCGACACTACATACAACAGGAAGCTCTGGTGGCATAGTGCCTAAGGCATTTGACGGCTAACCAGAAAGCTAGTGGTTACAACTCACCAGCTACTCCTTGGAAGGAAGACCGGGCAATCTACTTCTGTAGAGATACCACCTCAGAAACCCAAGGAGAGGTCGCTATGAGTTGGAAACGACTTGACAGGAGTTTGGTTTTTTCCGGATATACAACAGAAAGGAGCTCTGATGGCACAGTGCGTAAGGCATTTGACTGCTAGCCAGAAGGTTGGCAGTTCAAACCCACCAGCCAATCCATGGAAGAAAGACTGGGCAATCTAGTCCCGTAAAAATTTACCACCTCAGAAACTCAAATGGGGGTCGCTAGTCAGAATCAACTCAATGGCAGCGAGTTTGGGTTTTTGTTTTGTTTTATTTATGTACCACAGAACGAAACACTGCCCAGTCCCTATGCCATCCTCACAATCCTTGCTATGTTTGAGTACTTTGTTACAGCCACTGCACCAAGCCATCAAGCTGAGGGCCTTCCCCTCTTTTGCTGACCTTCCACTTTACCAAGCATCATATCCTTCTCCAGGGAATGGTCTCTTCTGACATGACCAGAGCAGGTGAGACAAAGCCTGGCCATTCTCACTTCTAAGAAGGATTGATTTATTCGTTGTTTTGGCAGTCCATGATATTTTCAGTATTCTTTGAAAACATGTTTCAAAGGCATCATCTCTCCTTCAGTTTTCATTATTTATTGTCCAGCTTTCAAATGCATGAGGCAACTTAAAATACCAAAGCTTAGGTTAGGCGCAGCTTAGTCTTCAAAGTGACATCTTTGCTCTTCAACACTTTAAAGAGGTCTTTTGGAGCAGATTTGCCCATGCAATATGTCTGCTTCCATCTAATACTGCTGCTTCCATGGGTGTTGACTGCAGATCCAAGTAAATGAGATCTCTGACAACTTCAGTCTTTTCTCCATTTAGCAGGTACTATCAGGCCAGTTGCGAAGATTTTTGTTTTATGTAGAGGTATAATCCATACTGAAGACTGTAGTCATTGAGCTTCATTATAAATGCTTCAAGGCACCTTCACTTTCAGAAAGCATGGTTGTATCATCTGCATATCACAGGTTATTAACAATTCTTTCTCCAAGCCTGATGCCACATTCTTCTTCAAGTAGTCTAGTTCCTCAGATTATATGCTCAGCATACAGATTGAATAAATATGGTGAAAGGATACAACTGTGATGCACACCCTTCCTGATTTTAAACTATGCAGTATCTCCTTGTTCTGTTCAAATGACAGTCTCTTGGTCTGTGTGCAGGTTCCTCATGAGCACAATTAAGTGTCTGGAATTCTACCATCATGCCCGAGCACTCATAGCAAAGTTCAACAAGACAGAAAATAACAAATGCTGGTGAGGATGCAGAGAGACTAGGACTCTCATATACTGCTGGTGGGACTGTAAAATGGTACAGTCACTGTGGAAAGCAGTATGGCGATTCCTTAAAAAGTTGGATTTAGAAATACCATTTGACCCAGTCATTCCATTACTAGCTATATATCCTAAAGAAGTGAGAGCCAAGACAAAAACAAATAAATGCACACCGATGTTCATGGCAGCACTATTTATAGTAGTGAAAAGATGTAAACAATCTAGATGTCCATCAGCTGAAGAATGGATAACCAAACTATAGTACATACACACAATGGAATACTATGCAACTCTACAGACTATCGCAGAATCTGCAAAACACCACATAACGTAAATGAACTTAGAGGACATTATGCTGAATGAAATCAGTCAGTCACAGAAGGACAAACATTATATTACTCCATTATCGTAAAAAGTCAAGGAAAGGTTTATATATGGAAGGAAATTTTCTTTGTTGGTTAGCAGGGGCAGGAGGGGAGGAGAGGGAACAATGTTAGACAGGTAGAGGCAAGTGTTGATTTGGGTGAAGAGAAGGGCAATGTACCAAATGTGAGTGATCAACATGGTGGCACTGAGGAAGAAGAAGACAGAGAGGTGCATGGGAGGTACAGAAAACAAAGATGAACCCTTTTGCACATACCCGTACTGCGTTGTCAGTGAGGGCAAACATGGATATACGGGTGGATAGATGGGTGGACAGGCTTAAGTATTAGGTATGTCTATGCAGGGGGGAGGAGCTCAGGTAGCATAGTACCTAAGGCACTTGACTGCTAACCAGAAGGCTGGCGGTTCAAACCCACCAGCCCCACTCCTCAGAAGGAAGATGGGGCAATGTACTTTTGTAGTGATACTGCCTCAAAAACCCAAGGAGGGGTTGCTATGAGTCGGTTCCGACTCGACGGCACATCACAACAACAACAACATGAAGGGGGGAGTGTACCCAAGACCATGTATAGGGTTGGCGGACAATGTTTCTACAAGTGTATTGCTATGTTCTGTAAGAACTCCCAGGTATATAGTAGAGAGGACAAGGTTGCAGTCACTTCTTGGCCACAGCCAGCTACCCAGAGGGAGCGAGTAATTGGACCTGTGGGCTCAGGATCATAGTCTCAGGGGACATCAAGCTCAACTGGCATGACATACTACACAAAACATTGTTCCACATCCTACTTTGGCGACTAGCAACTGGGATCTAAAAAGCTTGCAAGCAGCCACCTAGATGCAATGATGGGTCTCTCCTTGTCCAGAGCAAAGAAGAATGAGGAAAACCAAAGATTCATGGAAACAATTAGTCCTAGTGACTGGTACACCATGTGATCCGCAGCCTATACAACTATGAGACCAGAATAACTAGATGGTGCCCAGCTACCACCGTCAACCACTTGGAGGGGAATCTACGCAGGAGATCCCAGATAGAGAGGGAGAACAATGCGGAACAAAACTCAAAATCATTTAGGAAAAAAAAAAGGGGGAAGACCAGGTTTGCTGGTCTGATAGAACCTGATAGACGCCCTGAGACTATGGCCTCTAGCTGCCCTTCAGGTCTGGAATTGAACCCACACCTATGGCTTGCAGTCAAACAAAAGATAGTTGTATGAGGTGAACATCTACACTAGGTAAACACACTTCTTGGAGAGAACAATAATGGAAGAATAGAAGAGCTATGTATGCACAGGGAGACAGCTCAGGGGGCAGGAATGCATGGAGCAACGGACATAGGGAAAGGGTAACTATGGGAAGGAAGTGGGAGGGGAGCTGTCGAATTGTGGGATATTGTAGCCAATGTCATGAGACAAGTGTATGTGAACTGCTGTATCGAAAGTGAACTTGCCCTATAAACTTTCACCCAAATCACAAATAATAAATAAAATCCAACTTAAAAAAAAAAAAAAGTGTTCTAGAATTCCCATTCTTCACAATGTTATCCGTAATTTGTTATAATCCAAAAAGTCGAATGCCTTTGCATACTCAATAAAACACACATCTTTCAGGTATTCTTTGCTTTTAGCCCAAATCCATCTGATCCCTCATTTTTATAAAAACCTATAGGTAACGTCATTATCTACTGGTAAGACTGAAAGCTTTCCCTTAAGATCTGGAATAAGGTCGGGAAATCCACTATTACTACTTCTACTCAACACTGTAGTGGTGGATCTAGCCAGTACAGTAAGGCAAGAGAAAAATAAAAATCATCCAGATCAGAAAAGAAGATGTAAAACTGTCTTTATTCACAGAAAGCATGATCATCTATATAGAAAATCCAGTGGAATCTGCAAAAACACTACTAGAAACAAATGATGCAAAGTTGCAGGAAACAAAATCAATATAAAAATTAATTCTAAAGGTTAAGATGGAGAAAATACCATCATAAAGAGTAAAAGATATACTATAAAAAACAGACAATGAAAGAAAATGGAAATGGATACAGGAAGAATAAATGGAGATGCAGAAAAAGAATCCAACAGATATCTTCCAGGCACATTATAAAAGATAACATTACTTTATACAATCAAGTTCTGCAAAGAGTGTTATAGACTATCCAAACAGTTAATCTCTATGGCTAAAGGAGACACTCAGATTATAACAACCAAAGGTTATAGTGTTTTAAAGTGCAATAACTCACCTCTCTAGCAGCACAATCATGAGGAGCTTCTTCTTTATTTACTTTTCCTTTTGGAAATCCCCAGCCTGATTTTGCTAGGTATCCCTGAACCAGTAGTACCTACAAAACAAACAGAGTGAAAACTATAATTTGCCCTCCTTTCCCGGTTTGTTTCTAAATTAAAGGTATTTTTTTTTCCCCTTACTTAACTGTTACCACCAATTTTATACCGCAGTTAACTATCTTCTATGAGTCTGAATATAGTATTAGTGTGAAGAATAAGGAGCTCTGGTGGCATAGTGCCTAAAGCATTTGACTGCTAACCAGAAGGTTGGTGATTCAAACTTACCAGCTGCTCCACGGAAGGAAGATGGGGCAATCTACGTCCGTAAAGATTTACTGCCTCAGAAACCCAATGGCAGTTGCTATGGATCGGAATCGACTTGGTGGCAGTGAGTTTGATCAGGTTTCTTTTGAGCGTTAAGAAAAGCATTATTTCTTCAACAACAAAGTGACTTTTCTTTGTACTAAGCCACACTGCAACAAGTATAAAATGTAAGGTCCAGTTGTTGTTGTTGTTGTTATGTGCCGTCAAGTGCCCCGACTCATAGCGACCCCTCCCTGGGTTTCCGAGGCAGTATCACTACGGAAGTAGGATTGCCCAACCTTCCTTCCGAGGAGTAGCTGGTGGGTTTGAACTGCCAGCCTTCTGGTTAGCAGTCAAGTGCTTTAGCCACTATGCTACCAGAACTCCTAAGGTCCAGTATGCAGACAAACTAAATATGCAAAAATATGGCCCTCTAGCACTGAAACCTAAGAATATTTTAAAACCTCAGTTCAAAACATTATATAAATATTATTAAATTGGTGCATGTTTTGTATATATTCTCAACAAAACAAATTTAAAGAAAACATTACGTAAATAATATATTTTATTAGTAAGATAAAAATAGCTGATCACCACTTCACTAAAAATTGTTTTATTTGACTCACATTTTCAAGTGTCTCATCAAGAATAATTGCACCATATGTTGGTACTCCCATTTTATATTCCTTCCATTCATCCAAAACTTTTTCCACATCTTCACCTTGAGGCAGCAAAAATGGACAATGGCTGAAAAGTATAAGTAGTGTCAAGGAAGCTATTCTCTCCATTAATACAACTTGAGCACTTACAGAAAGAGATCCATCTAAATCAACTGTGTATGTATATGAAATTACTCAAATCTTTACCTCACTGAGTTTAACCTTTTCTTTTTTTTCCACCTCTGTTTTCTCTTGACTAAGACACTGCCAATTCCTGCATTTAGCCTGAGCACAAAGGGAAATCAAGAAAGGTTTAGGAACTCATAGCCGTAAGCTACATCTATCAATTATGAACCCAAGTGCTTCTCATTATGGACACTGAATTTAGGGAATAAACAGACACTGAAACTCATAGCAAAATATAAAGTATAGTACACCTATATTGGGGAGAGGTAGAAGGCATCAAATGAACAACAAAAAGTTGAAAATTGTTAACTCTGGGAAGTAGAGCTAGTAATAAAATTCTATACTGTTTGAATTTATCATGTATTGCTTTTATAATTAAAAAATATTTTAATGAAGATTTACTAAGGATTATAGAGAAAGGTAAATCTAGGTATGTAAGGGAAATACAGCCAGTTTCAAAAGAAACTGGGCATGCCCCAAAAATGAGACAGCATAATTTGAAAAAAAAAAAAAAAAAGGAAATACAAGCCCTGCCACTATGTATACAAGCTTCTAATATTCCATGCTATCAAATGCCTTATCACTATAACACTGTTAATTATGGAAAGTGTGGGCAAAAATTAAAATTTACAAGAGTTTCTCAAAGTATAATTTATGTTTCTTAAGCACCCTCAATTCCTCTATAAAAAATGTTCATGTTCCATGTTTTCATTTTGATGTTAAAAAAAATGTAATATGAGCAGATTTTCAATAATCTGGATGACTACTTACATCAAGTACTACTACTTGATATCAGAGGCCATAACAATACTACGACTGCATTAATGGTTGTGGGCTATTAAAACCAGAAGCAATCTAATAGGCAATTGATGGATTAGGGCCAAAGGCTATAAAAACAAAGGTTTCATGTCACAGATGAGAAAGGTGGCAGAAGCGCTGGTACTATAGGCATGTCAAATTCAGAACCTCAGAGTCAGTATCATATGCACACTGTGATCAGGTCTAGTTTAAACAAAAACAATGAATTCATGTTATTCATTTGAATTGTGTAAGTTCTACTATTTTGTATTTAAAAACTTGCTTTGTATTCAGAAATCTGTTTTGACTTTATAGTAGTATTAAGAATTAAACAGGATCTCAAATATCATGCCCCCTCACCCCCCCCCAAATCAACCATCTATAGCAACACTATAATTAAAACACAGGCATAAGGCTAATCAGCATAATTATTCCATGCCTTCATCGTGGGAGAAAAAAGATAAAAGTTTGAATGCAACAGTAATCATCCTATGAAGCACTTACAGTTGTACACAGGCTTGCTAAGATTCCGAAAAGTATTTCCCAATAAAAGTCTGACTTCAGATGTTTAACAAAATCCCTTATGTGTTTTAAAGTCATCACAAACTACAAATTTTAAATTAATGCTTTCCACTAAAAATTTAACCATAGAGAAACTGATAATAACCAGGGAATAAAGACCAACTTCCAATTGTTTAGAGAGGGTGCTTACTCAGTTTTGGGTTTTTTTTCCCCCCTTTTCTTTTGCTTTCTTTTTCCCATCTATATCCCTAAAAATTTCAAGGTACATCAGTTTCACAGGGTGAAACTTCCATCTGATGTTATTCTTTTACCCATATGAATAACTTCTTTAAAAATAACAAAAGAAAAAAAGAAAGGTTTAGGGGAAAGGAGGTAAATCATCTGACTTAAATTTGGAAACTTTTACAGACTTAATTTATCTATTTTTTTTCTACTGCAAGACCATAGCAAAATAACTGAGTTGGCAGAATCAACTAATGTTCACGATATACCTGTAATTAAAACTGAAAAGAACCCATTAAGTACTTGCCCAAGTCCACACAATTAGCAAGTGACAAAACTAAATCTTAGATGACTTTAATTTCCCCACTGACCACTCATCTACCCTCCTCTATATTCAACAATACATAGTAGCACTTAAAGGGCCCTAGTGGTGCAAAACAGCTGGCAGTTAGAACTCATCATTGGATCAGTGGGAGAAAAGACTTAGAAATCTGCTCCCCTAAAGATTACAGACTAAAAACCCCCATGCGGAAGCTCCACTGTTGAGTAATACAGGGTTTCTATGAACTGGAATCAACTCCACAGTACACAACAATACATAAAATTCTTCCAATGTTTATTTAACCAGTCTAACATATGGGGTCTCCATAAGCCAGAATCAATTCAACAGCAATTTTTTTCTTTTTCTTTTTTTTGGGGGGGGGGAGGGGGAACAGGAGGGAATAGTAATTCAATTCGATCATAGGAGTGGGAATTTTTTAAGTACCATTTTAACTGTTAACTACCATTTCTAGTTTTTACTAAAATTCTTACTTGGCTACTAATTTCCTTAACCCTAAAACCAAACTACTCTGAGTCTCCAATCTGGACTACGGTAGCGTTAAAAAAAGGATAGAAAGGTTAGTACTAGTTTACTAGTTGCCATGAGTTGATTCAGACTCATGATGATCACTGTGTGGAGACTGATTAAATACAGAATATAAGAATTTTAAGCCCATGTTCATTTGTATTACACATATTTTCTTTTTGTTCAACAATTCAGAGGTTTTGACAATCTTTGTATTTAAACATTTTTAGAAAAACATGAAAAACCTGGTCTAGGTATAAATAATCATATGGATAGTAATCCACAGCCCAAATCCTGCCATTATCTGAAATGACAACCATCTCCCTGTGACAACTCATCTCAAATTCTAGTCTCAATTCCTTGATTTCCTGTCCTTCACATCCATTCCCACTTCAGGGACCAATTTCCGCAGCAACACTCTGGACCCCACCATTACTAAAACTATTCTGATAATTTGATTAAAATACTCTGACCAGAACCTTTGCAGCTTTCTTCACTATATCATTTGGACCATTTTCCTTTCTCCCTATGAGCACCATCCTTTTATTTTATTCCATAACTCCAGAGTCCCTTTTATCAATCCCATTACCAATACTCTCAAATCATTGTTCTCTGAATAACTCCCTAGAAAAAAACATCAACCCTGCAACAAATCCAGAATACCTAGTTTGCTAAAATGCTACTAAAGAAAAGGAGTGTCTGGGTGGTGCAAATGGTTAAGTGGCTGCTAACTGAAAAGTGGGTGGTGTACTAAAAGATGCCTCAGAAGGCCTGGAGATCTGCTTCCAAAAAGTCTCAGCCTTGAAAACCCTACAAAGCATTATGGGTTCATCCTGAGTTGGAATCAACTCAATAACAAAAACAACAACTGAAGAATAATCACAAGATTCTGGAACAGCTAATAAATGGTAGAGTTGGGATTCTGGGGAACTTGGCTCCATAACTCATGCTATTAACTTTTACAGTATGTAGCCTATCTACTTCAATATCCCCTAGGTACTACAAACTCAACTTGTCTATAATGGAGCCAACCATTTGCCCCATAAAATTTTTCCTCCTGTTGTTTTCCTATGAATGGGATAGCACATCTAACCACTCACTGCTCAAAGCAGAAACTTGGGTACCATCCTTGATTCACCTTTTTATTTCTTCTCAGACATCCAAATTAACAACAATTTTACCTCCTAAATAGCTTTCAAATTTGACATCTTCAATTCACTTCTACAACAGGTAGGCTTCCCATCTCCAGTCCTGCCTTCCTTCAACTCACTGTCCACACTATTCCAAAGAGGTCTTTCAAAACACTCTTTTAGAAAGAAATAAAGCAAGTGTGGCAAAATGTTAATGGGATGAAGGATATCAGAGCAATTCACTGCAATATTCTTTCAATTTTTCTGCAAGTTGAAGTTTTTTCCTGAAATAAAAATTTTAAAATAATCTGTATTTCCTCTATTAAGGCCCCGATGGCTCCTCACACACTGGTTAAAAGTCACTGACTTGACCCAGCTGCTCCACGGGAGAAGGATGTGGCAGCCTTCATCCATAAAGATTACCGCCCTGAAACCCTACTCAGTCCTGTAGGGTCTCTATGAGTCCAAATGGTAGGGTCTCTTTGAGTCCCAATGGATTCAACAGCAATGGGTTTAGGTTTTTAATTTCTTTCTTGTGCATATGGATAACAGTCTACAAGACCTCAATTAGCTTTAGCCCTCAACTAGCCCATGACTAACTTCCAATATCATCTCCTGTCCTCTACCACTTACTCCACAATTAAATCATATTTAATTTTTTCACTTCCTCACACAAATTTAAGATATCACTTTTTCCAAAGATGGCTTCTATCTAGCTCCCAAATCTGGGTTAGGTATTCTTCTTCTCTGTTCCTAATGAAATCCTATCCAGAACCTCAAAGTATGCAAAATTACAATGATAAAACCCTAAGTCTCTGCAAAACAGAGCAATACCACATGAATGAGAGCTCTGGCTATATTAATTGTGCTTCTTTAGCTAGATTCTAACTCCTCCTTAAAAATAAAATCTTCTAAGTATCCTCCATAGAGCCTATCATTGAGTTTTTAACAAAGAGGATGCTCAAGGTACTTCCATTATCTTTGATTCCTGATTCACTTGTACATACTTAATCAAATAACTTTTTATTTCTTCCTTGAAACTCAGTCGTCTTTGTCATCCCTTTACTAGGGTTCAGGACCTTATTGCTTCATTATCTCAAGTACTATTTCACTCCACCCTACCTACAGTCAATCTATCTTACAATTATCTTCTTGAATATCACTTTCAAATGATCTGTATAATATTCTTTACCATTTTGTCAAAAATTGTCTCTAGTTATCTAGAACAGTGTTTCATTCATTTTCTGCAGAGCCCTCCAAAACTGCCATCAAGTTGATTCTGACTCATAGTGACCTCCATTGAGTTTCCAAGGTTGTAAATCCTCATGGAAGCAGACTACCCCATCTTCTGCAGAGCAGCTGGTGGGTCTGAACCAACCTTTTTGGTTAGCAGCCAAATGTCTTAACCACTATACCACCAGAGCTAGGGGTTCCATATTTCAGGGGTCTCAAGGAAAGTGATTAGAAGCTGAATGTAAAGGTATTTTAGGTCTTCTGTCCCTACTTTAACTCTAGCTTAGTACACTGGGTTTGTTGATACAGTTCCACTCGAACACATGATTCATGGTTTAAAACAGTAACCTACAGAATAAAAATCGAAGTACCTTGGCTCAAGATTTAAGAACTCCCACAATTCCCCCCTATATCTTTCCATCCACATCTCCTACTGTGAAACCTGTTCAATATAAACTATAACTTACTTCCCAATCTATCCCCTATACTTTCCAACTGTCCTATTCTGTCCAATCCCCTTTCTTTACTTACATATACCCTAGATTTCTATGTAGAAAATCTTATATTCCCTGAAATACATACCTTTGTCTGAGATCTTTTCACCTGGCTTCTTTTAAAATCTTAAATATTCATGCAAATCTTTTATAATGAATAAATTACGATATGCTTCTATCTTAGGAGCTCTGGTGGCATAGTGCCTAAGGCTTTTATGGCTAACTAGACGGCTGGTAGCTGAAACCCACCAGCCACTCCTCGGAAGGAAGAATGGACAATCTACTTCCGTAGAGATACCACCTTGGAAACCCAAGGAGGGGTCACTATGAGTCGCAATCGACTTGAGGGCAGTGAGTTTGGTTTTATGCTTCTATCTTATTTTTTAAAACAAGGTTATTCTTTAAAGAACTTCTTTGAATTTACCACAAAACCAGTATTACATCTTTGAACATGTTGTAGTTGTGTGCCATCTTATCAACTGCAAGTCACAGCAACACTAGAGTACAGAGTAGAACTGCCACCATAGGGTTTCCTAGGCTATAAACCTTTACAGGAGCAGATCACCAGGTCTTTTCTCCCATGGAGCCTCTGTTGGGTTCTAATCGCCAACACTGGGTTAGTAGCCAAGTGCTTAATCATTGTGCCACTAAAGCTCCCTGCTTTGAACAAGGTGAGCATGTGATAATTATTTAAGAAATTCTCTCCCAGAAAAGATAGTGATTTGATTAAAGATTATCTGTTTAAATGCAGCAGCAAGAGAAAAGTAAACCACAGACCAGTTCTAGAAATAGGCTAGCTTTAATCACCTGAAAAAAAGGAAAATTTAATTCTAATAATCAAAACACATTTCAAGGCGTCATCTTTCAAAACATAAAAATACTATTTTTTTTTTTTTTTGGCTACTGTTTATATTCAACAATTTTTTGAAATCAAGTGTTTTACCTTTAGTTATAAGTCTCAGAGACAAGCAAAAGGAAATTTGTACTAAAATATTTTATTAAGAGGAATGAAAGACAATCATTACACTAATAAAAAAGGATATCAGCTTTAGCAAAATCTCTTATCCCACACTGAGGTAATCCTGGTGTGTTTTGCATGTAGAAATCCAAGTAAAACCAATGGGCAAGTTCAATCTGAAAACATACTCGGATTGCATTGTCTCTTTCCTCGCTCGGAATATGCAAAATAAATCGGCTGTCAAAAAAATAAAATACATATAAAAACATTTATAAACCATAACAATTTATTTTAATCTATTTAACTGCTTTATCCCTGGTCCATTAACACAGAAGAGGGGCTAAGAGCAATACTGATCAAGGAAGGAATATTCGGAGAAAATTAATAGAGAATATAAGTCTTTAAAAAAAGAGAGAGAGAACATATGCCATGTATCTTACTCATAAAGACGTTAAGATCTCATTTACCCCTGTTCATAAGTACAGAGATAAATATGAGTTCACTAACAAAAAATTAAAGGTGAGCAAGAAAACAACCTTTACTAGTAGTTCCTCCAACGTCTGATAACATTTCCAAGGGCACCTACCCTATATGTACATATGTACTCATGTGATAAAAATGCCTTTTTTGTTAAATAGAAAAATCAGAATTTATATATCTAAGTGAACATCATTAACAGAAGGCACTGATTCCATCTACTACTACTAAGTATTTTTGGTGAGTCGTCTTCTAGGAATCTTTGAAAACCGTTCAAACTCCACACAAAAAAGTCCACTGGCATTTAAAATCATACTTTTCGAGATACAAAATGCTTTACCATTTACATTATTAACTTAGCTATGCTATGGTCCTAAATGATTTCTGGCTGTCTTCAAGTTTCAAATCAAACTAAACAAAATACTTTTAAATTAAAAAATACTGTAATATTCCCACAGGGGAATAATTAAATGACAGAACAAATGTATGTACAGTAATCTACATTTCAATATGTAAAACTCCTGAAGAAACAAGGACCTTTAATTTTATATACACTAGCAAAACCCAAGGAGGGGTCACTATGAGTTGAACCCAACTCAATGGCAGTGGGTTTGTTTTTTTTTTTTTTTTTTAGTAGCAGCAAAATATATAACACGCTACCTTAATAGCCACTCTTTGGAAGGAAGATGGGGCAATCTACTTCCATAGTGATAACTGCCTAGGAAACCCAAGGAGGGGTCACCATGAGTCAGGTCTGACTCGACGGTACATAACAACAACAACCTTAATAACATTATCTAAGATATAAAATCTAAGCTCTTCTGTATGGTATTTGGAATCGGGTCTCTGCCCACATGCCAGTCAAGATTTCATCACTCTATAAATTTCTTTATAAAGAGCCAGAAATGCCTAATTTTTGAAGCTGTGCTGAGTTACCACCCATATACTGTATCTACCTTCCTCTTTTTCTGATCTAGCAAACTCCTAATTCATCATTCAAGACCTACAAACACTGACTCTTCCATATAGAGAAACCAGACTTCTTTTAACAGATGCGTTCTGTTTCAAGAATTACCTGATTTTTATAATTGTCCACAAACCCTTCTAAATCAGTTCACTGAGATAACATATATATCTTTACACTTTTGTACTTCCCAGAGTCTAGCAAATTGTCTGGCACACACCGATCATTAAAATTTACTTTTATAATACTTATATAGGTTTCCATTCCTGGTAAGCACTTTCCACTTTGTCCTTCCCATAAAATACAGCTATAAAATCTGGACAGAAAGCAAAGAACAGCTATTTGAGGGCTTTAAAAGTAAACAAAAACTGGAATATTGAGGAAAACCAGAGTTTCTGTCCTGATGACTCTGTCCTAAGTAGGTTCTGACATAATTCGAGTATCTTCTCCCCTCCCTCAAGTTTTCATTACTATTGCCTTTTATGATCAGTATCTTTATAAATCTGGTATTTCTCTTTAGGAGTTGTAAAGATTACACGTGAATTTACAGATATATTTTAATATACAAATACATTAAAAAATCCACTGTCCATAAAAATTTACTCCTAAAATGAAGAAGAATAGGACAACACTGGCATTTTGTCAGCTGCAGTAATAACTCCACTTATAAAAGGTTCTGGATCATCTGGATTATACCTGGGAATGGAATGCCAGTTTGTAGACAGAAAATTAGTGACAACTGTCTGTATGATCCTTTTCTTCTTCACATATTTTGCATTAAAATCTCACTGCTTCCCAAAACTGCCCATGTAGGTGTTCGCAAAGTGATATGCATGTGGGTCCATGTTTTCAAGCAACTGAAACCCTGACAGTTTTTAAAAACTTCAGCTAATCCTTTCATTGTACAAGTTATTGACAACTCTCCTCCTTCCTCATTCTTTCTTTCTTCTTCAGCGTTTTCTTTCCTCTGCTATACAGCAGTGTTTTAAACAATAAATCTTAAAACTGAACATCTGCAAATTAACAATTTGAGAATGATATCAGCAAATTATGTGCTCCAACATTATGTATACAGTATATATTGCTAATAAGATGTACCAGAAAAGGAAAAAAAAAAAAAAGTGCATCTTAAGTGTAGCAGTTAAATGTGATTCACTGTAAATCTACTAGGTTGTAAGTCGGGGACTACATGCATTATAAGTAAATTTTCCATTCGCTCCTCCTACAGTACTCCCTGGCCTAGACAGAGGGGTGGGAGCCTAGAAGTGGCCACCACCAGAAACAGAGAACTCCAGGAGAAGCCTTCTAGTGTACATCTGCCTCAAGGACCAAGAAAGTAGTCTAAATTTAGAGTTCCCTAACACTTTGAGACAGTGAGAGAAATTCCCCCTTCTTTTTCTTTACTCCAGTCTCTTCAAATCCAGCCTCCAAGCAATCTCATTATGATTATGAAAATGGCAGCAATGGGGATCTACAGAGGCTAAAAGATAAGAACCTTCCTCTCCATTTTCTAGAGGTCCGGCCATAAGCCCCATGGCTTTTTTCTTTCCCTATTCTTCAGTTGCTTGGTCCCGAAAGTCACATGAAGTCACAGTCATATGAAGTGCATGGCAGAGTTACTTTCTGGTCAGAAGACCAAAAAAGGGGAGGCCCAAGGAACTGGCCACATGAAGTTTTTTATGAATTCCAGAACACACCCCCAAGGTGTACATATGCTTGAATTAGATTCTAAACACCATACTATATTGACTTCGAGAAATGAACTATTATACAGATCATTACATCGGTCTCAGACGGATCACTGGGTGGTACACACAGGACAGATCCAAAGAGCCCTGGAAAGACTGCTGTTGTTAGGTGCTGTTGAGTTGGCTCTGACTCATAGTGACCCCATGTACAACAGAATGAAACACTGCCTGGTCCTGCGCCAGCCTCACAATCCTTGCTATACTTGAGCCCATTGGTGAAGCCACTGTGTCAATGCATCTTGTTGAGGGCCTTCCTCTTTTTCACTGACCCTCTATTTTCTCAAGAATAATCTCCCTCTCCAGGGAATAATCCCTTCAGACAACATGGCCAAAGTAGGTGAGACACAGTCTGGCCATTCTTGCTTCCAAGGAGCATTCTGGCTGCATGTCTTCCAGGACACATTTGCTTGTTATTCTGGCAGTCCGTGGTATTTTCAGTATTCTTTGTCAACACCACAATTCAAAGGCATCAACTCTTCTTTTTCCTTATTCACTGTCCAGCTTTCACATGCACATGAGACAAATGAAAATATCATGGCTTGGGTTAAGTACATCTTACCTTAACCTTCAAAGTGACATCTTTGCCTCTGAACACTTTAAAGAGGTGTTTCGCAGCAGATATGCCCAATTCAACACGACATCTGATTCTTGACTGCTGCATCCATGGATGTTGAGTGTGGAGCCAAGTAAAATGAAATCACTGACAACTTCAATCTTTTCTCCATTTATCATGATTTTGCTTATTGGTCCAGTTGTGAGAATTTTCATTTTCTTTATGTTGAGGTATACTCCATACTGAAGACTACAGTCTTTGATCTTCATCAGTAAGTGCTTCAAGGCATCTTCACTTTCAGCAAGAAAGGTTGTGTCATCTGTGTATCTCAGGTTGTTAATGGTTCTTCTCCCAATCTTGATTCCACATTCTTCCTCACATAATCCAGCTTCTTGGACTATTTGCTCAGCATACAGATTGAATAAGTATGGTGAAAGGATGCAACCATGGGGCACACCCTTCCTGGCTGGTTTTAAATCATGTAGTACCCCCTTGTTCTGTTGGAAAATAGCATCCTTGTCCATGTCTAGATTCCTCATGAGCAGAATTACGTGTTGGGTAGTTCCATTCTTCAGAATGTTATCCATAATTTGTTATGATCCACACAGTCAAATGCCTTCGCATAGTCAATCAAACACAGATTAACATCTTTCTGGTATTTTTTGCTTTCAGTCAATCTCTGATCTTATTCACCTCAATGTCTCAAAAAAAAAAAAGTCATCTACTGTTTGTCTTTTCACTTTGGGGAATTTTCTATTGACTTTCACTATGGAAGATGAAGGATTAACTCTCACTCCCTTTCTGCAAACCCTTCCCATTTTCCCATTCTCCAAACAAACATGTATTATAACATTTCTCAACCTTATCACTATTGACATTTTGGAGCACACAGTTCTATGTTGTCCTGCAGGATGTTTATGCATTATCTCTAGCCTCTACTCATTAGCTGGCAAAAGCACACCCCAACACACACTTGTGACAAACCAAAAACATCAGATATTGCTAAATGTTCCCTAAGGGAACAAATTCACCCCAATTGACAATTACTGGGTTAGATCTACATTCAGTCTTTACATTATTGTAACTCTAGAGAGACAGTTCATAACTAAGTCATGCAGTAAACGATGACTTTTTTTCCTTTACTGAACAATTCTTTGTTTCTCTGTACTTCATAACTGTCTTTTTCTTTGCTTTTTCTCTGTACTTGTCACTAATTCAACCCTCCACCAGTTTTTTTAAGGTGCTCATCTGGTAGCATAGTGCCTAAGGCACTTGACTGCTCACCAGAAGGCTGGCGGTTCAAACCCACCAGCCACTCCTCGGAAGGAAGGTTG